AGCAGACCTGACTGCTCCTCCTTCAAAACGCAGCCAGGTCTGACCATGCGTCCCCACTTCCACTGCTACTCCCTGACCCAAGCCCCCATCAGAGCTCTGCAGAGCCCCCAACCCATCTGCACTGGCCTCTGCTTGGTGTTTTCTACATGGCGACACAGCAGTCAGAGGGTTCTGCTAAAATGTAAGTCAGGTTATGTCACTCTTCTGTTCAAATTCCTACTGTGGTTCCCATCTCACTCAGAGTAAAAGCCAAAGTCCCACAGTCACCCTTATTCTCAAACCTAAGCTTCTGTTGTCCTCCCCCGGTTCCCTCCAGTCCAGCTACATGGACCTTCTTGCTGGCTCTTGAGCACACCGGCACAGGCCTGCCTCAGGGCCTTTGCGCTTGCTGTGCATTGGCTGGAGAGCTCTTTTCCCAGATAACCATGGGTCTCTCTCCCACATCTCCTTCAGCTCAACTGTTCCTTCCTTTCTTCCTTCCTTCCTTCCTTCCTTCCTTCCTCCTTCTCTCCCTCCCTCCCTTCCTCCCTCCCTCCCTCCCTCTCTCTCTCTCTCTTTCTCTCTCGACCGTACTGGGCATTGATGCCAGGAACAAGCTCTCTCCCACTTGAGCCCCCAGCCCTTTAATTTGGTATTTTGTTTTTGAGACAGAGTCTCACTGACTTTTCCCAGGCTGACCTCAAACCTGAGATCCTTCTGAGTAGCTAAGATTACAGGCATGTGCTGTCATGCCCAGCTCCCAGCTGTGGCTTTTTCAGCACTGATTTCTGTATCTCCCTCTGCTCTGCCTCCTGTCTTTTACATTTTTAGCACTTAGCATTACCCAACATCATATATCCCATATAACCTACAAGGATGTATGCTCCATGGCAAGCAGGATTTGGCAGGTTGTAGGGTCAGTCGATATTTTCTTTCTTGTTGGAACAACGGGATGACTCTCCCTAAGAGAAACAGTCCACACCTTACCCTAGTGCTTTCTGCCTCCGCCTGCAGGAACTCAGCACATGCTCAGATCCCAGTGCAGTTCATTCATCATCATTTCCTATTTAAACACCACAGTGGACATTTATTCCTCTCTTACCAGAGAAGCAGCTCGACTTCTGGGCAGAACTTCCCCCACACACACACTTTAACCCTGGGTGCCACCAATCAAAGTCATCCTCACAGAGTGGACTCAAGACTTGAGAATCATAGGACTGACGTCCTCATTTGCCCAGGGGCTGGAGCCGGGTGGCTGATGGAGCTCTGCCGAGCTAGGGAGCCAGGAGGTGTCATCCACTGAGAACAAGTCAGCACAGCAAAATAAATAAATGAAATAAAAGAAGACTGTTTCCCTGGAAAGCCACATGGTCAAAGGCAGGCTTATTTGTAAGTGGGACTGTTTGCCCTGGGGACAATTCAGAAGAGCCATCTCAGGGATCTTGATTTGCCCTTCTGTCCCATCCTGCTGCCTTCACTCCCTGCTCCAGGTGAGCCCAGGGCCTCTCCGTTAAACTTGCCACACATGGACATCTGTCTCCGGCCTTTCCCTGGTACAGGAGACTCTGATATGGGTTTGAAGGTTGGATCATCTTCTGATCACAAGGCTACAAGTTCCCTCCTGGGTGGGAGGAAGAGCGCAGAGGTCCTTGCAACTGGGACAATGGTTACATTTTCACTGGTGGTGGATGGGGACTGTGCTGAGGGGTGCGGAGTTTGCTGGTGGAGTTCTGTTGGCTTTGCCAAGAGAACAAAGGAGGACATAGTGACCACAGTGACCATGGGAGTTTAGACGCTAGCTTAGAGCTGCCAATGCTCTGAGAAAGACAGGGCGAGGTAAAGGGAGCAAACACCAATGACAGGCCACACGTGGAAGCTGAGATCAAGGCCATCTGACATCCTTGACAGGACCCAGATGAAGAACAGGAGGAAGCAATGGGCCGCCCAGAGCTGCTGAGCAGAGCTGAGGAGGCTGTGGACCTCAGCAGTCAATCTGCTACGCCATGGTTGGGACCCCAAAAAGAGTAGGATGGGATGCAGGAGTCAAGGCCCCTCGTGCAGTCATAGCCACCAGCTTTTCTGACCCCTGGCCTGAAGAAATGCCAGTTCCTCCTGAAAGATGGGGCTCCCTCCCCACCTTCAACTGGAGGAGTGACCATATATACTGCACTCAGCTGTACCCCACAACCCAGGCTGGCCATCAGAGGACATGCTGGGCCAGCAAGGAAGGACCAGGGCTTCACCCCAGAGGCACTGAGGACCCAGCCAGCACTGACCAGCAAGGGGGCCAGGGGTGCCCTTGAACTGGATCAAATGTGGGAGGAGTACAGGGTTAGCTAACTGCCTACAGAGGGTTGGCAAACAGGATCCCTCTCCTGTTGTTATGGACTGAATTGTGCTCCCCCCTTCTTCCCCCTGCCCAAACACACCCCAGTGTGACTATATTTGGCGACAGAGCCTGTGAGGACGTGACTAAGATAAAAACGAGGTCATAAGGTGGGGCCCTAATGTAATCTATGATGTCTTTATAAGAAGAGATCAGGACACAAAAGAAGAAAGGGAAGGAAGGGAGGGAGGGAGGGAGGGAGAGAGGGAGGGAGGAAAAAAGGAAGGAAGGAAGGAAGGAAGGAAAGAAAGAGGTGGCCCTGGGGTTTACTCTCAGGGCCTTGAACTTGCTGGACAAGCACTCTGGCCCCTCGAGCTGTGCCTCTGGTCATTTTTGCTTTAGGTTATTTTTCAGATAGGTTCTTGCATTTTTGCTCAGGGCCAGCCTTAGACATCCATCTTTCTACCTAAGGCCTCTGGAGTAGCTGGGATGACAGGCATACACCATCACTTCTGGCTTGTTTATTGAGATGGGAATCTCACTCACTCCTCCCCCCAGGCTGGCCCCAAGCCACAGTCCTGATCTCTGACTCAAGAGTAGCTAGGATTACAGAAATAAACCACCACACATGGGCTGCATTAGTTAGTGACTTTAAGTCAACTAAATGTCAGTGAGGCTCAAGAAATTATTTAGGCTTCCCTTGGTTACACTATGAAGAGCTGGTGGGCTGGGTATTGTGGTAGCCATTTTGGCAAATTTAACCAGAATCCTAGGCCAGAGGCCCAACTCTAGGGACTCCAACATGTCAGGTCCTGCCATCTGCCCCACAGAAAGCAAACAGAGCAATGGTGAAAGGTAGGAAAGGATATTAACCAACGTGGCTATGTTGGGAAGATGATGGAAACCAGCCCATCTTGGGGTACTGAACCAAGCTTTAAGTTTAAACAGAGGAAGAATGGGGGAGGGGGCGGTGATATGCATAATTAAGCAGTCTCATGAAAGTGTGGTCTAGTTGCTCATTACCTCAGTTCTGGCTCTGCAAATTGCTCCAAAGAAGTTCTTACTGCTTGAGGGGACAATCCAGCTCCCATGAGATGACTGGTCCTGCCAGACTACCATAGGGTCGTCTGTCTGCAAAGCTCTGCCTCAATTCCAAGGTGTCTGCGGGTTTAGGATAGTGACTGGAGATTTCAGGTGCCTTTTCAGGGTCTGCAATAGGACACATTAAAAGCTGACACTAAGATGCCTCAGTTACTCTTATCTCTGTGCCGGGGGAGGGAGGAGTTGGTGAGGTTTTCAGACAGAAGCTGCCTGAGGGATTAACAGCCTATGAAGAGTGCAGCAGGAGTCTGACCCAAAGTTGAAGACAAAGGAGACAGGTGCAAATGGAGGCAGAAATGCCGGGTTTTTATCCTGCTTCTAATTACCTTGGGGGCCCAATCGAGGAGTCAGTGCCTTTCAGCAAAGCGATTTAAGAACCTGTCATTTGAATACCGTAGAGCGGCACTGCTCTACCAAATAAACCCAGCAAAAGCTTATTTTCCCACATGTCACAGTCCACTGGGTTCCTGAAGGTCCTGTGTGATCCTTGGGAAACTCTGTCTACCACTGGGCCCTGTGAGGATCTCAAAGGACCCACCTTCGGGGTGGTAGGTGAGGACACGGGAGAGGCTCAGCTTGGAAGTGCAGCAATGCCCCGCCTACACCCAGATTTGAATGCAAAGGAGGCTGGGAAATGTAGTCCAGCTGTGAATCCAGAAGCAGGACAGGAGAGCACAGATGTTTAATGAGTACTGTCCACATCTGCCTCAGAGGGTCTTGCCTACTGTGGAGGTGCAGAGGGTCCAGGGAGGTGGTCAAGGCAGAGCAAGATGCCAGCTTGCTTGGAGAACGTGTTCTCTGGCTGTGCTTGCTGAGTGAATGGGCAAGTGACCACCACCTTGAATCAGGACCACTCTAATGGCCCACTAAAAATGCCAGTCGGGCCCAGTTGTTGGAATCCCTGGCAGTGAACCCCAGACGATAGACTCCTGCTCTCTGGAGAGGGACAGAGGTGACTCAGGGCATCACTCTCCCCAGCAGGCTGCACCAGTGTGACCTCACCACCTCTACTGGGCAGATGCTCTAGTGGGCACACGAGGTAGACCGTTTTCCCCTCACTTAACTCTCACTACCTTCTAAATCCACGCCTCCTTTATTATCTTCACCAGGCTAAACACCTGCCCACGCGCACCACCCAGGCCCCCAGATCGAATTCTCAAAGTGCCTGTCAATCTCGAGTCCTCCACCAGCTGAGTGAGCTCGGACCCAGCAAGTGCTGTCTCTGAACGCCACTTTCGATGCCTTAAAAAGGACACAACGATTCTAAAACAAGCCACCCGGAGATGAGGGGCTCTCAGGGACGGCTTCCCGGTGGCAGGGGTCCCCAAGCTGCGGGCTGCGCTGAGCTCCGAGCTGCAGCCCGAGTGCCGCAGGCGATGGCACCGCGCGGCGGGAAGCGCACGATCGCACTGCGCGGGACACCGCGACCGGGGACGCCTGGCGGGCTCGGGGTGCAGGTGGCTGAAGGGATGGACAGGGACCGCCCGGAAGCTGGCTATGGGGCAGGACCCAAACGGGAAGAGCTGGCGCCCCTCCCCGCCCGCCGCGCCGGCTCCTCCCGGCCTAGGGGCGGGGCGCACTCGGGACCCGGAAGTCGCCTGTCCCCTCCAGCGGCCGCCTGGAGCGTTGTCCCCCTGGCCGGCATGGGGCCGCTGCGCTGGCTGCCTCTGCTCGGGCAGCTGCTGCTGCTGCAGCCACCGGAGTCCCGGGCCGCCGGCCCCATCCGGGCCTTCGTGGTCCCCCACAGCCACATGGACGTGGGCTGGGTCTACACGGTCCAGGTAGGTGGCCGCGACGCTCCCCGAGTGCGCTGTACCATCGCAGCTTCCTCCTGCGGGGCGGGCGGCGGGGCGTCCCCCCGCAGGGGGAGGGGGGGCGCCGAGGGAGGAGCAGCCAGGTTCAAGTCCCCAGGTTCAGGTGGCCCCTTGGGTTGGTCACTTTCTGTCGTTGGGTCCCTGCGTCCCAAGCTGGGGAGAGAAGTGGGGTCCCTAATGTGGGAGATGACAGGTAACTTATTTTCCAGGTGAGCCTGGCGCGGGAGGGGGTGGGGCTGGCTTCAGAGCACGAGCAGGTCAGGTGACAGCTAGGAGACAGGCTGGTCCCCTATGGGACTGCACTCTGAAGAACAGTTCAGTCCCCTGCACCACCACACGGGACAAGCTTGCTGCTGGACCTGTGGTGACCTCTTGACTCTGCTCAGGACCTTGGGTAAGAGACTTTGCTTCCTAAGCCTCAGTTTCCCCATCTGTAAAATGAGAGCAGTAATTCCTTTCATACAAGTTGACACCTGGATGCTTTGGAAGTAGTGCGTATCAGAGCCCCATCATTGCCAGGGGCTGCTTGGGCAAGAAGTGGCCTGACCAGGGGTAGTAGGCCAGGCCTCAGGGCCCTGGGGGGAAAGGGAGGGAAAAGCCAGCATCACTGTCATCAGTATAAAAAATTCAGTGCCCATCAGGCATGTGGCCCCACACTGGTCACGGCATGCAGTGGTCAGTTGACCCCTAACTGAAGGAGCCAGAGTTATTCCCCACTCTTCTCATCGCACCCTAGCTGTACTGGCCTCCTTGTTCCTCCTCCACCTCCAAGATCCTCGTGTCTCAGGGCCTTTGCACTAGCTGTGCCCTCTGCCCAAAATGCTTTCTTCCCACGTACCTATAGGACTCAGCCCCTCCCTTATATTGGTGACTACTCAAAAGTCACTCTTGGGGTGGCCTTCCCATGGCTACCTCCTCTCCTCTTCTCCCCGTAGGTCACCCCTATGCCACCATCTCAGGGTCCAAGTGTTCTACTCACTGGTTCGTTGGTCATGCATTTTCCACTAGACTGTAAGCTCCCTAGGGAAGGGACTTCTCCCACCTTGTGTACTGACCTTTCCTCCCTGCGCCCTGCAGAAGGCGCTGCAGGATGTTTGTCAAATGAATGATTGAGAGACTGAGAAGAGTGCAGAGAGAAAATCCGTCCTGAGGCCTCTGGGTTGGGGCTGGATATTATTACCCCGGCCTCCTCCAGCTCCTTTTGGAGTGAGGAAAGAAATACCCAAGTCAACGAACAAATTCCTCTGTGATTAGGGAGGGCGGAACTGTACAGAGGATATCAATAAGTAATCATGGTGTTTTAAAGACAGGCTGGAAGAGGATTGGAGGCCAAGTGTTAAATACGGTCCTGGATGTGTTTGGTGGCCTGTGGGGAGGCCACCAACCTGCAGATGGAGACAATTTAAGGGCAGGGGATATGACCAGCCACTGAGGCCCAGAGAGGGTGGATGCCTTTCCTGAGGTCACTCAGGCATGACCGCCTCAGCCTGGCCCTCTGCCCAGTGCCTTGGCTATTTGGTAATGAGTGTTCTTTGCACTGGAGACCCAACTGGGCCGCCCCTGTGGCCCTGTCCCTCAGAGTGCCTTGCCTGTGGCCCCCAGGCCTTCAGGGACCACCTCCTCTCAGTGCCAGCTCTCACTACTCATGTCCCCCTTCATCTAAGCCCAAGAAGGCTCCTTTGAGGGCTGGGAGGTGTGGCTGAAGAAGGCTCCTTTGAGATCATGGAGTTGCACCCCCCTCACTCTTGGACTTGGCCATTCTGACCCACAGACCTTAGGGTCCAGCTGGCACACGTCCTCTAGGAAGCGACCCGACCCTCTGCCCACGTAGCAGGTCCTGGCTGTTTCCTGCTCTCCCTACCCTGCCGCAGGAGCACATGCCCGCCAAAGTGGGGAGTCTGTGTCCTCTGAGTCCCAGCCTCATCACATGTTCATCACGGAGTGAGCACCCTCAAGTCACGCAGTGGACAGAGATGGAGATGAAAAGGGAAGAGCCCCATGCAGACACGCCCTGGGATGGCAGGACAGGGGACACTTGGTCTCGCCAGATTTTCCCTTTGCTCCTTGGGGCCCAGCCCCCTGGGAGCCCCACGGGCACCAGTGTGACCGTACCCCCTCCCCAGGAGAGCATGCGAGCATATGCGGCCAATGTCTACACCTCCGTGGTGGCTGAGCTGGCCCGTGGGCCGCAGCGTCGCTTCATCGCGGTTGAGCAAGAGTTCTTCCGGCTGTGGTGGGACCACGTCGCCTCAGAGCAGCAGAAACGCCAGGTAACTCACCACCAGGTGACTTGGGAGGACCTGGCAGGAAACTCAATGTGTGGGGGGTGCGGTGGAGGGGGGCTGGCTGTGACCAGGGCTGTGGGAGAAACCAGGAGGCCACAGCCCAGAGACAGGGTATCTTTCATGCTGTTTGGCTGTTGAAAAATTGCCAGCTCTGGAAAGCCAGACGCCCCTTCCAAGAGGCAACAGCGCTGGTACTGATGCCACCTGCTGACACTTGATGCCCACAGGTGCCCTGAATCCTTCCTGGCTCCCTGATTTACACTGCCTGCCTGGCCCTCCGAGCACAGGAGTTGTAGCCTATGATTGGGGTCCCTGTGGTTTAAGGGCAAGACAGCAGCTTACTTCACACCTCAGAGATTCCTGCTCCATGGCAAGGCAGCCTGGTACCTAGCCCTGTCACCATAGGCTGTGACTGGCCTTTGTGAGCTGTGGATTCCATTTCTATAAGCTAGGGTGACCTCCCCCTTTTCAGAGAGGTCATGCCACAGGTGAAGCTGTGACATAAACACCTGACAGACACTATGCTGGGGAGATCTGTTTCCTCCCCAGGAGTCTCCTTTCAGAACAGTTACTGAACGTGAAATTCAGAGAGGTCAAGCAACTTGCTCAAGGTAGTAAATCTACAGAGGCAGAGCGGGAGTCGGCTAGAGTCCTCTGGGAAGGCGTCTCTTAAACCTGCAGCCTGTCAAGTCATGTTGAGGAACCGGATGTTTGGCCACTTGTCATGTGGCAGGCATCGTTACCTAGCTTTATAGAGATGCTCTGGACTCAGAGAGGACAGGCAGCTGGCCCGTGGTCACACAGCTTATGAGTGACAGGTGTGTCTGACTTGGAGCATGCCTCTCCAGGGTGACTGGTGGGTGGGCCACACTTCTTTATATGGACACCACCAAATCCAGTCATCTGTGTCCTACCTGCCGAGAGGAGCAGGCCTGCATGTCTCAGTAAGGACCTGGGTAGGAAACTCCTGTGCCGGAACCTGGAGGCCAGAATTTTGTCTGCTTTGCTCGCTGAGGAATCAACAGTGCCCCATGTGTCTGGGGTGCTGTTAAATGAATAATCTAGAAATTCTACACCTTTAGAACACAAGCCACAAGTTCAGTCTGTGATCAGTACATGGCCTAACACCACCTTCTTGGGCCTCATTTCTTTCCATCTGTCCACTCACTCATTTATTCAAAACCTTTATCCGCTACTCATGAGGCAAACCCACATTGAAGGACAGTTGACAGAGTAACTGACCTGTCATCTTCAAAATTATCTCTCCCATGGGACTGGGGACACAGCTTAAATGGTAGAGCCCCTGCTTTGTAAGCATGAGGCTTTGAGTTCAAACCTCAGTAGTGCCAAAAAAAATTGAAAGAAAAAAAGACAGGTAGAGGAATTGTTCCAAGTTAACAGATCCAAAAGAGAGGTCAGAGTTTAATGCAATACATGATCCTAGGTTGACTCCTGCACCAGGAAAAGGAAGTTAGTGGATTATTTGCATCACATCTGTGGTTTAGATAGTAGTGTTGTATTGCTGTTAAATTTCCCGGTTTTGCTAGTGATGCTATGGTTACAGTTGTCACATGGAGACAGAGACTGTTAAGGCACAATAGGTCAAAAATGTCAACAGTGCTTGAATCTAAGAAAGGAGGTATGGAAGTTCTTCCTACTGTTCTTGCAGTAGGAAGCGCGAAGTTATCTCAAAATCAAAAATTTATTTCTGGATATAGACCGATCTAGACTTCATCTATGAGCCATGGGCCAGGTGAGCCGTGGTCCACAGCATAGACCAGGACAGTGTTCCGCTTTTATGGAATAAGCCAGGGTGAGGAGATTCACGGAGGCCCCATGAGGCACTGCAGGCTTGGCCCTGACAAACTTGACACTTGTGACCTGTCTTCTCTCTGCCCACCGTGTCCAGGTCTGCCGACTCCTGGATGAAGGACGCCTGGAATTTGTTCTTGGAGGCCAGGTCATGCATGACGAGGCTGTGACCCATCTTGATGACCAAATATTACAGCTCACAGGTTTGCCACTGTGATAGTTACTTTTATTATTACTGTGACCCGATAACTTCGATAACTTAGAAAACCAGCGTAAGGGAGGAACGGTTGAGTTCGGCTCACGGTTTCAGAGATTTCCGTCCACTGCCCTTGGCTCTATTGATTCTGGACTCATGGTGAGGCAGAACATCATGGCTACAAGAGGTGGTAGAAGAGGAAGCTGTTTACTTCATGATGAACGGGAAGCAGAGAGAGAGAGAGAGAAAGAGAATAAGGACAAGATACTCCCAAGGACCTGCCCCCAGTGGGTGGCCTGCTTCTTCCAGCTAGGCCTTACCTCCTAAAGTTTCTAGAGCCTCCCAAAATAGCACCACCAGCTGGTGACCAAATGTTCAGCGCACTGTGGGGGACATTTTGTATTCAAACCATAACATTCCTCTCCTGAGCCTCAAAGACTCATGGCCATCTCATAACACAAAATGCATTTAGTCCATCTCCGAGAGTTCCCATGGTCTTAACAGTTCCAACATTGTCCAAAAGCCCAAGTTCAAAGACGCCCAAGACTCAAGGCAACTCTTTGCTGTGAGCTCCTGTAAAAATAAAAAAGCAAGTACATAGTTCCAACATAAAATGGCACAGGACAAACATTCCTATTCCAAAAGGGGGAAATGGGGACATAGAAAGAATGGATGGGACCACAGGAAGAGCAAAACCGAGCAGGACAAACATTAAATCCTGTCGCTCTGTGTCTGGTGTCTGGGACAGGTGGTTGTGTGACATGAGCTCCAACAGACAGGGGCAGCCCCACCCCTTTGGCCTTGCCATTTGCAGCCCACGTGGCCTCTCTCTGGGCTGGCTTCACTTACCACCTGCAACTTTCCCTGGCAGATATTGCACACTCCTGGCACCTCCAACATCCTAGGGTCTCCACTGAGGTTTGGACTTCACTCTCACTCTTCATGCATCATCCTCTCAGGGACTTCCTGCAGGGACTCTGACTCTGCCACACATTGCCTGGCCTCTTAGACTTTCCTTTGAAATCTGGGTGGAAGCCTCCATGGCTCCTGTAACTCTTGTGTTCTTCATGTCTGCAAAACCAGCATGACAGGAATAATGTCATGGTGTGCTGCCAGCAAGAGCAGTAGCTGGGCTTCCGTGGAGCATGGCTGCAGCAGACTCTCAGTGCCTGGGTGACTGAGCATGGGGAAATGAATCCTGCAGAATTCCTAGGCTACCCTTTATGAGTAGGATGCCTTAGTTGCTCTGTCTTCTCAAGGGAAAGTCTTTCAAATGAGTTTACTCTTTCATACCCTTGACACCCAAAGCCTGGGATTGGTGGGGTATGGCCAATTGCTGAGATGCCCTCAAGGCATCTTTCCTATTGTCCTTGGCTTGCTTTTTTTTTTCAATACTAGAGTTTGAACTCAGGGCTTCATGCTTGCTTTCTACCACTTGAGCCAGGCCTCCAGCCTGGAGGGAGGGTCTTACTTTTTGCCCAGGCTGGCCTGGACTGCAATTCTCCTATTTTGTGCTTCCCTCCTTCACTAAGATGACAGGTATACACAACCATGTCCAACTTTTTTCTATAGAGATGAAGTCTCACAAACATTTTTGGCCCAGACTGGCCTGACATCACATCCTCCAGATCAAGCCTCCCATATATGTTGGGATGACGGACACACACCATCATGCCCAACTATTGTTTGAGATGAGGTCTAGCTAACTTTTTGCTGGCCTCGAACTGTGATCCTCTTGATCTCAGCCTCCCCAGTAGTTAGGTTTATGGGTATGAGAGAGTGGTATCCAGCCCTTGGCATCTTTTTAAGGCCACTAATCTCTAAAGAGACCATGCCTTCCTAGCCCCAACTTCACACTGGCTTTTCTGACCACCACAAGTTTTTCTTTTTTCTTTTTTGGTGGGACTGTAGTTTGAATTCAAGGCTTTGCACTTGCAAAGCTGCTGAGCCACACCTCTGGTCTGTCAATTTTTCAAGTCTTTCTCCTCTGCTTTTTGCTTCCACTTGTCATCATAAACCTGGATAAAAGCAGCCAGCAACAACCGTACTACAGCTATGCTGTCTTAAATTTTCCTCCACCGAATTAGTTCTTACTTAAATTCAGCCTCACTCAAATTCTATGATGCGAGCAAAATGTAGACAAATTCTGTGTGGCATGAATGGCCTCTACTGCAGGTCCAAGAGTCCTTGTTTCCATCTGAAGTCTCCTAAGCATAGTCTTTATCCCTCATTCCTGTCGGCACTCTGGTCTTCTGAGCTCCTGCCAGAATCATCCACTAAGCTCTGCTCACCACATCCTAGGATTTCTCTGGCCTGCTTCCCCAAACTCTTCCAAATTCCTCCTCAAACCAGTTCCAAAGGCTAAAGAACCACACAGTTTTAATCCCAGCCACAGTCTCAATTCTCTCTTACCAGTTTTCTGTACAGTTACTTTTCTCATCTCTATAACAAAATACCTGTGAGAACAGCCCAAGGGAGGAAAGATTTATGTTTGTTCGTGATTTCTGAGGGTCGGTTCATGGTCGCTTGGATAGAACATCATGGCAGTGGGAGGGTGTGGAGAAGGGATTCTCCCCTCATCGTGGACACGAAGTAGAGAAAGAGAGAGACAGGAAGGGGCTGGGGACAGTGTACCCCCTAGGACCTATCCCCAGTGACCGACTTTCTCCAGCTAGGTCCCACCTCCTAATGTTTCCAGGACCTCCCAAAATAGTGTCACCAACAGGGGGCCGAGCATTGAACCCATGAGCATGTGGGGGATATGCCCTATTCAAATCATAATAGCACCGGCCAGACACCCGGGACCCTACGGTTGAGTAGGAGCCTAACCCTCATGCTCCGGGCTTTGCCTGCCTCTCTTGGTGAGGAACCGTGGCCAGGTGAAACAGTGATCTGCGAGGGTCCTACTCATGCCTGGCTGAGTCACGTGGCCTGGTGAGTCCCACCGTGACCCTGGGCGAGGGATGTAACATTGTGGCTCGGTTTCCTCATTGGTAAGATGAGCTCGATTGTAATACGTACCTCCAAGGGTTGTTGGGAGGATTAAATTGCGGTAATCCAAACAAAGGACTTCAGGGTGTGCAGGTCCCTAAGAAGCGTTCAGTAAACGTTAGCTGTCTTCACCACCACCACATCCATCACCATTATCACCATCTTAATTACCGTCTTCATCACCACTACCACCATCCACAGTGGCCGTGGGGCACTTCACTCACCGTTTCACAAGCCGTGTCTCACCCAGTCCCAATGGCAGGCTGCCGAGGAGGCATTCAGGTCCTCGCTCATTTGCACACGTAGCAGCTGAGACCCAGAGGAGTGAAGTGACTCTCTCAAGGGCCAGAGTGAGGACTCAGATGCAGAAGCTCCAGCAGGAGCCTCAGTTTCCCTCTTTGTAAAACATCAAGGTGGCACAGGACAGGGTTTAAGGTTGTTCGCACCCTCACCCTTTCCCTTGTTCATCTGGCATCTTCCTGTGTCTATTTCTCTTGAACTTATTTCTGGAAATCACATATCCTTGAACTTGGCCTTCCATCTAGAAGCTGGTATGGGACGCATAACCTTTTCCTTCTCAGGACCTCACATCTCTTTTCTAGTTCTTCTGACAGAGCCCCTACTGTGTGCCCAGAGCTCCTCCTGCACTCCCTGTGTGCCTCCTGCACACCCAAAGGTGGGCCTACTTCCGTGACAGATGTCACTAGGCTAGAGCGTGAGCCCCTTGCCATAGCCCCCAGCTGCACTCTCTGCCTCCCAAGCCCATGCTCCCCCCACCCCGCCCCTGCCAACTTGAGTCAGGTGTTCCGGTGGCCTCACACCCTAGTCTTCTTGCTGGCTGCACTCCTTCAATAAGAGGGAAGATACATTTCATGATTGGGGAAGATTCTGCAGTTGCAGACCACGCTGGGCCATTGGGCGGCTCTGCTCCACAGTGACTCAGGGATCCTGGCAATTTCATCTTACTGCTTTGCCATCCCCTAGAGTGTCACCCACCCTCCTTGTCAATGGAACTGCCTTGTCCTCTGAGTTGTCATTCTAGTAAGGCAGGAGAAGGGCAGGCACTTCCTTGCCTGCACGTCAGCTGGAAGTGGGCTTCGAAGTCCAGTCCCACTGAGGCCCTGAGCCTCTTGGGGAAACAGCAGTAATTTAAGCAGTTTTGAACCACTGAACCCTTTGATTTCAGGGTCACCATTAGCCTTTTATTGTTAATGGCATCCCCAAGTTCCACAGCAGAACAGAATCAGTACTTTGTCGAAGTTCACGTAGAAATCCTCAACTATGTGTATGTAGAAACGGAGATGCAGCTTGAGGACAGTGCTCAGTGAATGAGCCAGACAGACGGGACAAATACTGCAGGAGTCCACTTATAGGTGGCCCCTAGAGCAGCCAGATCAATGGAGATAGAGTGTAGAATGGTGGGCAGGTGCCAGGGGCTGGGGATTGGTGTTCGTGGGAACAGAGTTTCAATTTTGCAACATGGAAAGAGCTAGAGATGGATGATGGTGGCCACACAATGTGTGTGCATTTAACGCCTCTGAACTCTGCATTTAGAACCCATATGCTGTGTGTGCAGTCAACGCCCTCAGCCCTGCCAACCTGCATGACACACTTGGCCTGGTGGCTGGCATTGCAGCCTGTTGGATGGCAGGGGTGCCCTGGGTGAGTGGGCTTAAGAGTGACGGGGTGTGGGCTCATCTCACCAGCCCCAGTAAGGTGATGCTCTCTTTGCAGAGGGACACGGATTTCTCTATGAAACATTTGGGATCCGGCCGCAGTTCTCCTGGCACGTTGACCCATTTGGCGCATCTGCCACAACCCCCACTCTCTTTGCCCTGGCAGGCTTCAACGCCCACCTCATCTCCAGGATTGACTACAACCTGAAAGACGCGATGCAGGAGGCCCAGGTGTGTCATGTGCCTCACCTGCTGTTCCCCTCCAGATGTCGCTTCCTCCCTCTGTTGTTCAAGGCATCTTACAGGGCCACTGCCATGTGCCAGACCATGCAGGGCTTTGTGGCAGCTGCCTGGCCCCAGCCTTGTTCTGGCTGCTCCCTCCAGGGATGTCTTCCCCTCCTGCACAGCTCCCCTTGCCTCTTACACAGCTGTAGGCCCAGCCTGGCCCCTTCCTGCTCGGAGGCCCCTTCCTGACCTTCAGGCCTGGGGTTGTACCAGCTCCTCCCTTGGGTCCTCCCTCCATGGGGACTACAGCAGAGCTGTGCTTGGAAACAGAGCTGGCAGACTAGAGGGACAGGCAGGGCGTGTGCAGCTGGGGACCTCGGCACAGGCATCATAGCTCTTCAGGGGTGGGCAGCTGACACGGGAGTGAAATGTTCATAGCGGGTGGCTCCTTTGCATGTTAGAAAGACACCAGTCCACTTGTCCTGCATCTCGAACACTCCATCCACTGTGAAAGGTGGCGTATCATTTGCTGGGGCTGTAGACGCAAAGCCCCACACCTGGGGCTTAGGCAGCACACCTGTGCTGTCTCAGCTCTGGAGGCGGTACGTCTGCAGGTGGCCATTCTTCCCCATGTCTCCACTATGTGTGTCTATGTCCACATTCCCCTTGTAAGACCCACCCAAATGACTCTTATAACACAGTCATCTCTCTTATACCCACGCTCCTTATAGGAGGGTCACATGCTCAGGTATTGGCAGTAAGGACTTCTTTTTGGAGCCTCCTATTCGATCCGTAGTCAATAGGAATACCCATTTTAAACACAGGGACACTAAGGCCCCAAAGGTTGGTGTCTTGTCACTCTCTAGAGCAATGAGAGAGCTGCCCACGGGAGCTGCACAGAGCTGGATTTGGTGCCATGGGCAGGAGGAACATCTTTAGAGATACCTACGAAGTAGGGACTATTAAGCCACCCAGAATCCTGAGCACACTGTCCCTGTGGGCTGATTTCACCTGCAAATGGCCCTACAAATGTGGGTATGGTTTCCCCATTTCTCACTCAGAAACCAAGTCACCGAGCATCCCCAAGGCAGAGCTAGGATTTTATACACGCCTTATAACCCCAACCAAACCCTCCTAACCATTGGAACTATTCAAAATAGCTCATGAGAGCTAATGAGGCCCCCACGCCCCTGAGTTTCCAAGCAGAGTTAGAATGGACCTGTAAGGGGCCTTGGCAGAGAAAAACACACTGAGGAGCCCTGTGGTGACTGAGCAGCTCCTGGAAGGCTCCTGGAGCCACCACAGGGTTTTGGGGGTGCCTGGAAGAACCCAGGGGAGGAGGCAGCAGAGGGGAGCCTTGTCTTTGAGCCCTGAGAGAGGGCAGGCGCAGAGCACAGTGGGACTAGGGGGGAGCCAGGGCATTGGTCTTGCCCTTGTCCCTCATTGGTTCCCTCTGGGTTTGCAGGGGCTGCAGTTTGTGTGGCGAGGGTCCCCATCCCTGTCAGCTCAGCAGGAAATCTTCACGCACGTCATGGACCAGTACAGCTACTGCACCCCCTCCCATATTCCCTTTTCCAACAGGTGTGTGCCTCCTGGGGACCTTATGCATTTCCTCATCTTTGAGCCTCCCTAGCAGAGTGGGTGTTGTTATTAAGCCCATTGTGCTGATGAGGAAACAGGCTCAGAGAGGGTTAGTGACCAGCTCAAGGTCACCCAGCTGGTCAGTAGGAAGTGTAGGATTTGACTGAGTTCTTTTTTGACTCCAAATTGTCTCTTCTTATGAGTCCCTGTCCTTGTAAGATTATTGAAAGGGATTTTACATGGTGTCCCCAGAAATATCCAGATCTGATCCTGAGAGGTCCCTGCCTGCTCTGGGCCTCAGCTGTCCCCATCTGCAAGGCGAGGAAATTGAACCAGCTGATTTTCACAGGTCATCAGCCACGCCCCCCCCTTCACCCTGCCCCACCTTGTCCTTCTCACCTGCCCTCCAGGGTACTGTGGAGCTTTTTCACCCTCCAACTCCTCCATGACCCTTTTAGTTCTGTTTTCTGTGAGCTATCATGACCAGCTGGCTCCCTGCCTCTGGCCATGTGTCCTGGGGAGAACTAGTTCCCAGGCGAAGGGTGCTGGCTTATGAAATCATGGTGTGGCCTGGCTTCATTGCGAGAGTTAGCCCCTGCCTACTCTGTCCCCTCCGGTCCTCGCCCCCATCCAGCACAGTGCAGAAAGTGGTTGAAGTGGGAGGAAAGAGGACCACACCACAGAAGCCTGGAGTGAATCACAGCCCTCACAGTTCTGCAGAGCCATTTGACTGCCTGCTGTTTTCCTGTGTGAGGGCCGGGTCCCCAGTCCTAATAGCAGGAGGTGGTGAACACTCGGCCTAGCAATGGACAGGTGAGCTTCCCAGCCCCGGGGAGGAAGATCCCAGGCACCATGGAGTCAGGCCATGGAGTTGCCCTGAGCCACCCTGGTTTCCAGGTGTCTGAATACTTTTCCTGGTCAACAGACACAGGGAGGTGAGACCTGCAAGGCGGAGGACCAGGTGACTGGGTTGGCATGGCTGGTAGGGGAATTACCCAGGCAGGACCTTTCCCACTGGGTGGGGGCTGTCTGAGATGGGAACTCACAGGTGGGCACAGGTTCTAAAATGTCAGGCAACACATGAAATTTCAGTCAATCTCTTCCTAGAGGGATTCAGGTACAGACACACAGGGCATCAGCTGTGTGGAACTAGGACCAAGAACCCCAGGGGTGGAGTGGGTGAGAACCCCAAGTCCTGGCTTGCTTTCACAGCCCTTACCTGGGGCCTGGCCCTGTTCCCTGTGTCACCTCAGAAGCTCTCAGAGCAACCTCTAGTGGAGTCGCTGAAGTGTCCCATCTCACAGATGAAGACACTGAGGCAAGGCAACCCCCCACCCAGAGTTCACAACTGGCAAAAGTGGCAAAGCCCAAGCCTCCACATCATGGCAACAGCCAGTCTGCAGTCTCTAAAGTTGGATAGGCCTGGGTTCAAATCCCAGCTCTGCCCTTTGTACCTGTGTCCTTGGGCAAGAAGAGAGCAGGCAAGGGAGAGGGGAGAAGGACGGGCATCAGGTGGGGGACTCATTGAATGCCATTGCCATTTGTCAGGCCTTCCCTGAGCCAGGCACTGTTTCTAGTTGTGTTTTCCACAATTGTTTTGGCAGTACTGGGATTGAACTCAGGGCCTTGCACTTGCTAGGTAGGCACTCTCCTACTTGAGCCATGATTCCCAGCCCTTTTTGCTTTACAGGATCTGGCACTTTTTGCTTAGCTGGCCTGGACCTTGATCTTCCTACCTATGCTTCCTGCATAGCTGGGACTACAGCTGGCACTATACCCAGTTTGTTGGTTGAGATGGGGTCTTGCTAACTTTTGGCCCAGGCTAGCCTTGAACCTCAACCCTCTCACTCTCCATCTCCTGAGTAGCTGGGATTGCAAGCATGAGCCACTATGCCTGTCTACAGATTATTTTCGTTTAACCCTCATAACCACTTGCCACACAACGCATCCATGAGAGGCCAAGGCTTGGCAACGTTAGATGTGACCATGCTGGGAGGTGTCCCAGGATGGAGAACTGCAGGCAGCAGTCCCATGACTGCCTCCTGATGCAGCATGGCCTGAGAAATGACCACCCCACAGGGCCCTCCAGACCCAGAGGCAAAGGGGAGCCCGCTAATATTCAGCTGTCCTGATTTAAATCTGATGTTTGTTCTTTGTAGATTTTTGTTTTTTTAAGTATTGCATTAAAGTATTATTTATCTTGACTACTGAGATTTGGGGTACACCCTTAACTTTGTGCCTAGGGTGACTCCTCACCTGGTCCCAGTCAGGGTCTGCTGGCAAGGAGGTGGCTGCACAGGCAAGTGAACAAGCAGCCAGGCTGTGGTAGTGGGGAAGCTGAGGTTGCTGGCACCACGTGGGTGGCGTTGCTGTGTCTAAGGTCCCGCAGGCAAATCCCACAACTGGCCTGAGTCATCTTCACAGGTTCCTCCCCCGTCTGCTCTCCTGCAGGTCCGGGTTTTACTGGAATGGTGTGGCTGTCTTCCCGGAACCACCCCCGGATGGTGTGTACCCCAACATGAGCGAGCCTGTCACCCCTGCCACCATCAACTTCTACGCTGAGACCCTGGTGGCCAATGTGAAACAACGGGCTGCGTGGTTCCGAACACCCCACGTCCTCTGGCCCTGGGTACGGTGCACATCAGACCTAAGAGTCCTCTACCCAACCAGGGCCTGCCGTGTGCCAGGAACACTGCCCCAGGACCACCCTGCACTATGGCCAGCTCTGACCAGGCCATGTCCAATCGGCTCCATCTTCCCCCTCTGCAGAGCCCTGGGCCTCGCCCTCTCCCAGCCTCTCCCCACTGGGATCTACCCCAGCCTCTGCAGTCGACAGACAACCATCAGCCATGCCGGCCCCTCCTTGTACCCACACACCTCACTTTTCTCCCTGTTTGGAGCTGAGGCCTGGGCTGGAACTTGGCTCCTGCTATGCCTCTGCATATATCAGTTTCCTCATCTGTGAAATGGGATTGGTGGTGGCTCCTGCCATGTAGGCTTGCCCTGTGGTTCAGACACAGCACCATCTCATCATTATCACTAACCTTTACTGAGCACCCACAGGGTAGCAGGCACTATTGTGGGATATGTTTGTCTCGTCCATCTAGTTGGCACCATTGGGCCTGGGAGGCAGGCATTGCTGGTATCCCATTATGCAGCTGAGAGAACTGAGGCCCAGAGAGGTTAAGGAATTGTCCTGGAGCCACACAGAGCATTTAGGGAAAGGTGGAATTTGTGTTCAGACCCAGTCAGGGGCCCCGTACCCTGAAACCCACAACTGCCTTTTTGAAGGAGCCTAAGGTCAGTAAGTGTTAGTCACCCTTATGAGCACTGTCAATAATTATCATACGATCACAACAAACCATACTGATAGGTAGCAATACCAAGGGCCTTACGAGATGCCCAGGGTTGACAGGGACCCTCATTGGCTCAAGGAGAGTGGATTCTGTCAGTGGGGCTGTGATGAGCCCGCCCTGCGGGGCCAGGGCTCAGCCCCCAGAGGTACCAGCTGTTGCTCCCGCACCCCGGCCTGCAGGGATGTGACAAGCAGTTCTTCAATGCCTCGGTGCAGTTCGCCAACATGGACCCCCTGCTGGACCACATCAACAGCCACTCTGCCGAGCTCGGGGTCTTGGTGCAGTACGCCACACTGGGTGAATACTTCCGCACCCTGCACACCCTCAATGTCACCTGGAGCGTCCGTGACCACCACGACTTCCTGCCCTATTCATCAGGTATGAGACTGGGGGACTGGGTTGCCACTTGGTGCCAGGGACAGCTAGACCCCCACCCACCTCAGCATGGGCTCCACACCTGCAGACTCATCCCCACCTGCTCAGCCCACCTAGACATCCTGGCTGCTGCACACATGGCTGGTTCCCACCGGAGTCAGCCTCTTAGAGTGCCCACCTCTGCACCTTTCCACCCACAGTGCCCCCTCCTGGGGGCCTCATCTGCCTAATGCCTGTGTCCTCTGGCCCAGAACTGGGCTGACCTCAGATAGCACAGCCTAACAGCCCCTCCTGTCTGTCTGGCTGTGTGGTCATGAACCCTTCCTGCCACACAATGAGGACATTAATGGTGCCTTATCTATAGGGTTATTGTAAAAATTAAATGAGACAAGAAAAGTTCTTCATCCCAGTGCAGCAAATGGAGCTGTAATTATGGTGTCATTGCTGGCCCACCACGCTACCCAGTCACTGCGCTGAAGGCTACTTCAGGGCCTTCAAGGTGCAAGGAGCCCAGTACCAGCACCCCTGCCCTGTTCTGTGCACGCGCCCTGCTGGAGCTCCTGCAGGCCAGGCTCCTCTGCCTAGCTTTAAGCAGAGAGCCTTGGCAAGTGGAAAGTGCCCTCCCATCCCCCTCCCTGGCCCTGCCTCAGGCCGGTCATTGGAGAATGGTGTTAGAAAACCATTGAACGCTCTTTAAAATCCTTGTTGCAGAGCTGGGGATGTAGCTCAGTGGTAGGGCACTTGCCCTGGGTTCCATCCTCAGTGCAGGAAAAAAAAAGTTTGTTTCACAGCCCTTGAAGGACCACGTGACCCTGCTCTGCCTTTGTATAGATACGGAAGCCAAGGCAGGGTAGATGGGATGGTGGCTGGGACACCATGAGCAGGACAGCTGAGAAAACCAGAAGGCAGCCCTGCCTGTAACAAGGTTTACCCAGCAGCAGCAGTGGTGCTCTGGTTGGCGTTTGGAAGGGAGGCAGGGAAGGTGCACTCCTGGGTTACCAGTCAGCTGGCTTGGGGTCTTTTTGCTGCACCCAGATCGTGGGTAGGCAAGAAGCTCCTCCAGTGCTGCTAGTCCCTTGAGTGTCCAAGGCCAAGGAGGCAGGACTGGCAGACCCAGAAGCTTACAGCTGCAAGCCCTGGGAGCTAAAGGCCCATTGCCCTAGACTTTGGAAAGCAGGGACTTGTGGCTTTCGGCACACAGGTTACAGGCTCATTGCTCCAGGCTTTAACCTGCAGTGCCCTTCACACTTTACAGCTATTGTAAGCCTCAGCTTCTAGAAGCAGTGAGCAATAGGCAGCACCTTCTGTGTGTCACAGCTCTCTAACAGGCCTGCAGTGCTGGGACTGTCACCCTGCAGCCACAAATGTTACAGTGTCAGGCTGCCAGGATTACAGCTCCAGGGCCGAGAACATCTAGTACCCTTGGCCCTTCAGGCTTGACAGTGACCAAGGCCTAGTTTCTCTTCTCTGACATTCTATCGCTCTTCTATCTCGCTTTAGCCCCAGCTCTCTGCTTTTTCTCACCTTCTTTCTACCTTCACAATCTCTCAGTGTCTCTGCTGGACAGTCCCTGTCCCATTGTATCCGCAGTGACCACTCTCTGAAACTCCAGCTGTCCTCACTTTTGCTGCCACTACCACTCTCTGCTTACTGCTTCTGCTCAGCCTGCTCTATTGATGACAGAGATAAAAAGTCGGCAAGAAATGACTCTTCATGGCCCAATGTTGCAACACCAGGGGGCAACACAGGAGGGTGTCACTGGGTGAATCGAAAAGTGAACTGAACCACCTGCTTGTATAGCCAGAGAGGGAGGTGTGGCAAAAGCGTTTGCGCCAATCACTCCACCATCCGTCCTGCAAATGAAGGACTGTGTTTGCACGAATTACACACCTTCCACTGGCCTACAGGGGAAGTGTTCCCTTTGACCTGTGTAAAAATGGCTGCAGGGTCATCTAGAATTCACTGGGGCCTGTGATAGCAGAAGGTCAGCACAAGCTGTCTGAAACAGTCATGAAGTTGTACTTTGGCACCAAGCAGCTACGGTTGTAGTGTGGCTTCCTCAAGGAGTATGTGGAGTGTTCAAAGCAGCCAGACTAGGGCTGGAGGCATTGCTAAAGTGGTAGAGCATCTGTCTAGCAAGCCTGAAGCCCTGAGTTCAAACCCCAGTACTGCTTTTTTTAAAAAAGCAGCCAGACTGCCCTTATATCTAGCCAGCTGCCAAAAAGTGGCTGCTGCACTGACAGTTTCTGCTCGAGACAGCTGGGCGCCAGGGAGGGTACAACAGCAGTCAACTTAGGGAGTTTATTTAAGGGAAAATAAACATTGAAAGGGTGCTTGCAATAAAGACTCCCCATTAACATTAATAGTGATTTAAGAGTTCTGACAATGCTTAGCTCCTGCCCCGGTGCCCCAGGGAGAGGTAGGTGTCTGATTTGTCTCACTGTGGCTCTCACAACCTGATAGTGGAAAGGAAACCAAGGCTTGAGGGGGCATCTGCTCGCTGAGCACTAACCATCACGTGGTCAGGACACCTACAGCAAGACCTGTCCAGGGCCTGCCCCTGCTCTGCACATCTGGCTTGGGTGTCACAGCTTCTCCCCACCTGGTTTCATCAGTGAAGAGGTTCTCAAAGAATTACAGGAGATGCCCAGGAAATGGCTCTGCAGTGGTCATTTCCCTACTCCCATTTCCTCCCAAAGAGATGCCACAGATGAACTCTGGATGTAGGGGCCTGGACTGCGCTGACACCTGTGACCCAGCTTAGTTCTTCCCCTCAGGGCTACCATCTATCAGTCTGAATGGAGAGGATGGGTGGAGATGTACTGTTCTCAGGCCCCTTTGGTTTGTACCATGCTGCTCACAGGCACCGCACACTTGGGAAGGGTGGGAGCAAAGATGTGGGAATGACTACAGTCAAGGTGGGAGACGATATGTCACATGTGCATGGTGACAGTCTGGTTGGAGTACATCGTGTGGGTGCGGTTAGATGATGAAGTGGCAGGTAGTAGGCGGGCATGGTGCCATGATTAGAGCTTAGGGGGTACACTTGACTGACTTGGAGTCCTGCCCCAGCATTCACTTAGTTTGGTGGTGGAACTGTGGAAGCCTATCTATTTGACCCCACAATCTGTGGCCTTTCCTCTGGGCCACAGTTACCAGACAGGGTCCTGAGGGGGAAGAACAGAAAACAGGTGCATAGGCTAGACCTGGAAGGAACAAGGAGGCAGAAATAAGAACCTGAGTGCCATCTTCTGAGACACAGAGCCACACCGCCTCCCTCCCCAGCCCTGCTCTCATCCTCCTCCTCTTTGTCCTGCGTCCCCAAGGCAGCTACCTAGGATTGCTCAGTTCCTACTGCCACTCTCTCCCATCCATCTTCTCTGGGCTTTCGGAGAGCCCCTGCCAAAATGCACGCCTGTCCCAATTCCCTGCGGCCCGCAGAGTGACACTCAGGCTGTTGTTGGCTGCATGCTGCCCACCTGAACCCTTATCTCACTCTGCTCCCTCTCTGAGCTTCCCCAGCCCCTTTGCTCACACAGCCACCCAGGTTTCCCAGGTATGCCCTGGGATTTCTTGTCTCTGGTCAAGATACTGCAGCACCCACCTTGTCCCCACCCTGATACTCCTGGGAAGTTCCTGGTCTGGCTCAGAAGGAGCCTTGGACTGTGAGCCATAAGTCCTGGGGTTACTGCCTGCCTGGCCTGCCTCTCCGGATAACCCAGGCTGACCCTGCCCCAGTCTGGCCTCAGTGTCCTCATCAATTCCAGGGCTGGAGTTTAGAAGGCTCCATGGAGCAAGGAGTCTCCGACCCACTGTCTCCCCTTTTCTCCCAGAACCACTGCAGGCCTGGACGGGCTTCTACACATCCCGCAGTGTGCTCAAGGGGATGGCGCGGCAAGCCAGTGCTCTTTTGTATGCTGGGGAGTCCATGTTCACACGCTACCTGTGGCCGGTCCCTCAAGGCACTCTGGACCCTGCCTGGGCCTTGCAGCAGCTCCAGCAACTCCGCTGGGCTGTCTCCGAGGTAATGTCCCACTCCTCAGCTTCCTGTGCCGTGGGATTCCTACCTACATCCCAGCTCCTCCTCCTGGACCCTTGGCTCTAGAGAGCCCTCTTTACAGAGGAGAAAACTCAGGTTCCCTCTAATCACAAGACCAGTGCACGGTGACACGAGGCTAAGGCTGGGCCCAGGGTCTCCTGGTATCCAGCCGGTGGCTTCCTTAAATTCTGTAGCTGACTTTTACCAAGAAGTAGAGTGGCATTAGTGTCAGAGGTCCTGCCCAGATCCAATCTGGCTTATCTGTGGGACTGCAGGCACCTGACTTTCCCTCTCTGAGCCCTAAGTTCCTCCCTCCTGCCTGTACACCCACTGAGAAGGATGGTGGGGCAACGAATGTGCCAATATATATAATCCAAATTACTCATCAACTTCCCTGTCCATTTGGCCCCCACTGGACAGACAGGGAAACTGAGATCCAAGAGGCCTTATAATTTGTCACCCATCCAAAAATGACCAGGCCAGCCAGGCCATTTTTACAGTTACCTGAAGGGAATTGCTTGCAGGACTTGTCATCCTGTTGGAAAAGAACAGGCCGACTTTAAAGTCTATCAAGGCAGGGGGCCAAGGTGGCCCCTTTCCCCTTCTGTGAAGGGAGATAAGCCACTCTGCCCCGATGCAGAGGAGAATAGATGTCACGCTGTACAGAGCACCCTGGAACCATCCAGCCACACGCATGGCAAGATAGGTCGTGGAGTGGAAGCTGGGTTCTTGCCACAAATCTGATTTGTGTGCAAGATGGAGGGACTCAGGCAGGGTCAGGATGAGCTGGGAAAGTGCTTCAGTCTGTCCTGCCTCAGTTTCCTCTTCTGTAAAGTGGGAGGGTGCCTCCTCCACTGGCATGAGATCTAGCACCCTGTAAGGGCCTTGCAGGGTCAGGTCCTGATTCCCTTCTTCCTTGACTCAGGTCCAGCACCATGATGCTGTCACTGGGACTGAGTCCCCCAAGGTGAGTGACATGTACATGGAGCACCTGGCCACAGGGATGCTGGGTGTGCACAAACTTATGGCCTCCATCGTCCTGGAGGGACTTGGGCCTTCAGTGGGCAAGCAGCACAAAGCACCAGCAGCCAACTCAGGTAAGCCAGACCCGTGTGGGGAGGCCAAGGCCCGGTTCTGAAAAGAGAGTCTAGGGCCTGGACAACTGGAGCCTCACGCTCATCCCACTGCCCAGTGGACCCCTCACCTGTGGCATGGCCTTGGCAGTGATCCTGTGCTCTGAGCCTCCGTTCCCCGAGGAAATAAGGAATGGTTGGTGTTAACAGGCAGAGAGAGAATGAACTGCAAATGAGTTTTGAGCATTTACTAAGCTGCAAATACTCCCCATGGAGGAGTTAGTGTAATGCCTTGCAGAATCTACATGCTAGAGGGGCTGTCACTGTCCTCATTTTAGAGCTGAGAAAACACTCAGCGGGGTTATGTCTTAGCTCTGTGTTACCAGGTAGGAAGGAGCAGAGTGAGGGTTTGAGCCCATCACCCTGTGCTGCCTTACCAGGCAGAGAAGATGTCTGTGTCCTCCTCAGGGGCCCAGCCTCCATCCTGGCTCCCAGCATTTCCTCCTGAGCTTAGCTGGCCTTCAGATAGTCTCCAGCCATGGACAAACCTTTTTGTCTGTGAGACTTCACATGTAGAGCGTGAGAGGGTTTAAAGCTGGGGAAATCCTGGGTAGATGGGTGAGGACAAATTGGTCTCCTTAGGAATGCATGAGATTTTCCCACACACAAGATCCTTAGGTCCATCTCCCCACTCTACCTCAGCCTGTACACTGGTCGTCTTGTACTTCCTGCTGTCCCCCCTCCAGACTTCCCACTGTCCCTGGGCTGTGCTCTCACCTGTGCTGCCCTTGCTCTCTGCCTCATCTGTGTGTAACCCTCTCCAACTGCAGACTCTGGAAGGCCTCTGGGGACCAGGACTGGAACAAATAGGCCCCCACCCCCAGGACACCAGTCTGATAGGCTGTGATGTCACTGCTGGGCAGGGCAGTAGATGGGCTGCAGTTCCCATGTGATGCTCATGTCATCCCACAAGCACACAGGGAGCTTCCCGGAGCAGGGAAGAGGTAGAGATCAGGAAAGGCAGCCCAGGTAACAGGAGCAGCCCTGGTGGAGGAGGGAAGCTGGAAAGGGGTCCATGAGCTGACGGCACACAAGATGGTGAATGGAACAGAAAATAGGACTCAAATGCCAGGGCAGGCAGTTGGACTTGAACCTCCAGGCTCCAAAATTTGTCTAGTTGCTCACAATGCCAAGCACTCAAAGCTTTGGCCTTAGAAGCTATGCTGACTTAGGCAAGTGACTGTACCTCTCTGGGCCTCAGTTTCTTTATCAGTAAAGTGGACTGGCGGGGATAGATGTGTGAGGGGCAAAGAGAACCTCAGCTATCCAGAGGGCATGGTAGGCTCCCTTCTGTCCCCCCTGCTCAGAACCTGCACTGAGGAAAATGCAGACGGCTACATGTTTGAGCAGCACGTTTGTCTGCCTGTACTCCACCCCGCTCCTGGCCTCTCTGGGGACTCTACAGGACTTGCCTCACCTGCCTCAGTTTCCCTATCCCAAAGGGTACCCAGAGGTGTCGGGTGAATCAGGTGGCAGCAAGTGAAACCTGTTCTCTGTGTAGGCACAAAGCCTGCAGGGTACTTTGCCTCTGTCTACAACCCACTGACCTGGACAGTCACCACTATCGTCACCCTGACTGTTACCTTCCCCAGAGTCAGCATCACAGATGAGTTGGGTCATCCCGTGCCTGCACAGGTAAGGGCTTGAAATTCTGCTGAAGGGACATTTGTGTTTGTCAGTGTTTCCACTTCTGCATGTGCAAAGGCCATAGGGAGTCTTCCTTTAATGGAGGTGCTGATGTTGGGTGGAGTCCAGGCTGCCTCTCTGCACCCTCCAGACATCCAGCCTGAGTTGGACAGTCTGTTGCCATCCTTTCCACTGCCTGGAGCTAGCTGGGGTTCCAGAAGACACTGGAGTGTCACTCAGACCACCACTGACTCATATCGCTCAGCAAACACTCCCAACGCCCATTCTGGGCTAGCTTCGAACTGCGATCCTCCTGATCTCTCTCTCCTGAATAGCTAGGATTACAGGCATGAGCCACTGGCACCCGGTTAGGACACATTTTTAAACAGGACAGGCCAGGTGGCATCCATGCAGGACCAGCAGATAGAGAACAAAATGTCTGTGTGCTGCGGCCAAGGCTGTTGGGAAGGCGAGTACAGCATCCTGCTTGCTGGGAGCGCACCCAGAAAGCTCCCCAAGAGGCTCAGAATCAGCGTGGTTTAGTTAGGGAGCCAGGTGGAGTGTTACCAAGCCCAAGTTCACTTACTCAACACACGAAAAGGGGCCCAGTGACTAAAGGACAAGTTATTGGGACAAAGAAAAAAACAGCCATAGTGGCAGCAGAGGAAGGAGACAGTATACAGTACCCCAAATAAAACAGGCTTCCCTTGAGCTGAGCTCCACACCCCTTTATTCTCAGGCAAGGGAGGGAGGGGTCTAAGCTAGGGAAGAGTCCACAACTAGAGACTTCTGGGTGCCACGCCATGGCGTGGAATGGGATGCTGTGAATTGTGGTAGTGCATATGTAATCATGTAATCATGTAATCATGGTACCTCTGTGAATCTTAAAATATCCTACTTACTCTTACCTTGGTGTCTCCAGCCATGAAGCAGAGTCAGTCTTTACTGCTAGTTCCAGAAAACGCTCCTTAGGTGACTAACATGTCCATAAGCAGAATTGAGTAGAAACCTGACCCAGAGGTGAGGTAGCAAAGGAGGTGGACACAGCACGGAGGCAGAAATGCCAGGCTGTCTGCCTGCATCAGTCACTGTCACACACTTCCTCAGGCCCAAGGAGCAACCAGTACCTTCAGCAAATGGGTGGCCTAACATCCCTGAACATAAGCTCAGTGACCATCATCAATGTGAAGACAACAGCAGACCTAGTGGTGGCTGACGCTCCACCACTCAGCTATGTGAGGCCAGAATTATCAGTGCTGAGGATTGAACCCAGGGCCTCACACATGCAGGACAAAAGATCTACCACTGAGCCACATCCTCAGCTCCAGAATTAGTGCCTTTTAAAGTCAACTAAAAGCCAATGAACTAGAGGATTTGTTTAGGCTTTCTAGGTCTTGGATTTAGCCAAATGTGCCCTACGACCTCTTCTGATGCCTCCCTTAGTCACACATCTCGGAGCTTGGCAGAGGCCAGGAGGGCTAACCTGAAAACGCCCTAATAGGTAGACATTAGGGGACAGGAGAGTTGCCCCAGGGTTGCCCCTACTGGTTGGCAAAGTCAGGGAGGCAGGGACAGCAGGGAAGTTGAGAAGGAAGGACAGCTGGGGACCAGGGCCTGAGGAGCAGACGGGATAGAGGATGGAGGCAGGGAAGAGGCTGCTCCCTGCAGCCCTGGAGGCTGCCTGGATCTTGAAAGTTTCATTCTAGTTGCTGAAGTAGATGAATCAGTGAGGATGCTGGGCCTGAGCCAGAGGGGCTGTGGCAGCTGACACCAGGTGGAGACCAAAGGGAAGGGAGAGCAAGAGGCTGAGAGTTCTCAGGAGGCCAGCGGGTGGGTGTTGGTGATAGTAGCAAGGGTCTGGTGGGGATGGAAGGACTGATACCAACTGGGAAAGGCTGGGGGGATGCAGGCCTGGGTAGGGTGGACAGCCTGATGGAGATATCTGATAGGGAGCTGTATTTGGTATTTGTGGGCCTCAGGTTCCATAAAAGGTCAGAGGTTAAGATGGGATTTGGGAGTCACCATGTTAGGCAGATGAAGGAGTTGGAGGTATACCCTGAATTAGAAGCTAGTCATCTTCAGGCCATTGAAGGATTCCCCAGGGGCTAATGTATTTTATGAGAACCCCAGAAGAGAAAGCTAAAACTGTGAAGGATGCAGAGGGAATGCAGCCACAGTCCAGGAGATAGAAGAATGCCCTGCCTCAGCAGGTGGTGAGCACCCCATCGCGGAAGGGGTCGCGGAAGGGGTGAAACTCAGATAACCTGTGGTCTTCCCACCCTGAAATCCACCTCTTCTCCATCCTTCTGGCCTCACAGATCCAGAGCTCTGCCAAGCACCCCTTTGCATATGACCTGCTCGTTCTGACCACAATCTCAGGCCTCAGTTACCAGTACTACAGCATCAGACCCATCATAGAGGCCCAAGAGGGCACTCAGGAGCCAGCCGCTGCCATGGCCAACACACTCCAGTTTGGCCACAGGCCAAGGAGACGCAGCAACCAGGGTGGCAGGCGCCTGGTGCCCGTGATGAATGACTGCTACACTGTGCTGTTCGACCAGGACACCAACCTGATGTTCAGCATACAGGAGAGGTGAGGTACAGCCATTGCTGGCTCTGAGGGGGAGGTGTGCCTGGGGCCTGGACACATCAGTGTCTTCCTTCACTCAGCTGCCTGAGGGAAGGACCAGATGGTGCAAAATCCCATCCCATTCTTGTGATTTTTAATTCAGGCATAAAGGGTCTAGACCAGTGCAAAAAAAGATTTTCTCTCTCCTGGGCGGTTCATCTGTAGACAAAGGTGCCATTAAGGGACTCACCCTGGGGGAAAATATTCATGTTATCTACTTCTTTAAACATAGGATCTCTATTTAGCAAATAGTCATGCCATCTTTAAAACAGGCAAGGACCTTCAGAATTCTTACCTGCCCACTCACTCACCATCCATCCATCCATTCACCCATCAGTGCACCCACCCACCCACCCACCCATCCATCACCTGCCCATACATGCATTCATTCATGTATTCATTCATTTAGCAACGTTTGTAGACAGCATCGAGAGCAACTGACCCCAGGAAAAGCAGCCCAGCTGGTCTGGGATCACCTTGTCCTTCCTGAAGCCACATCCAGTACCTCAGTCAGAACACCCGTTTTGTTTCCTGCCATGATCTCACATCAGAGGGGCCTATGTGGCAGCACACAATAAGGGAACAGAAACAGGGGAAGGGAGGCAAAGGAGAAAGGGAAGGGGAAGTAACATTTGTGTTAGGCTGAGCAGAACTCCTGTCAATGTCACTGTCACCAGCTCTGTGCCTACAGAGCACCTGGACTTCCCTCTGAGTGGGTCCCAGTCCACTGATCCTTCCTGAGGCAGTGAGCAGCAGCATGCAAGCTGTACAGGGGGTGCAGAAGTGGAGCGAGGCCCCAGCAGGTCTGAGTCCCCTGCCCCAGCCATGCTGGGAAAGGTGGGGTCTACACACTGCTCTCTTCCTCTCTCATGTCCAGCATCCCCTCTGCAACCTGCTGCACTCCTTCCCTTCCACCATCCCACAGATGCCACATGCCTCAGCCACATCCCACCCTAGCACTGTCCAGTTCCAAAGCACATGCAATACTTCCTGTGCCTAGACCTCTTTCTCTCTTGCTTTTGAATTCCAATGATAGCAGGAGTGTTTCTTATTAGGTTCCAAGCCCACAGGGTGACCCTGTAGGAACAGTGTTTGCCCCACACACTGGGCAGACAGAGGGTCTGTGGGAACCAGGAGGGGCCCTAGCCTCCAACAGAGGTGAAAGGCTAGAGGAGAAGGTGTGTAGAGCTTGGGTCAAGGGAAGAGACATGGAGACAGTTGCTCCATAGAAAGGACCTAGCTGTGCAGAGGCCAAGGTGTGTGGTGTGCACAAACACAGACCACAAGCCATTTACCCTCATGTCACAACGCTGTTAAAATGGTCACATACCACACAATTCACCCATCTAACTCATGCCCTTCAGTGGCTTTTAGTATCTTCACAAAGTTATGCAACCATTTCCACGTCCTTTTCTAAACACTTTTTATCACCTCCCCCCCCCCAAAAAAAAAAAAACACCTGCAATTTAGCATCTGAGTCCCCTTTTGTGCCTGACCCCAAGGCCCTGGCAAACACCAGTGTGCTGTCTGTCTGTATGGATTGCCATGCAAATGAAACACAGGGCCATCTGCATCTGGCTCCTTCCACTTGTCATTGTTTCAAGGTTGTGGCAGGATGTGACACATTTCCTTTTTGGCATACATGAGCCACATTTTGTCTAGTTCTTTAGTTGGTGGACATGGGGTAGTTCCACTTTTTGGCTACTCTCAATAATGCTGAGCAAGGCATGGTGGCTCACACCAGTGATCCCTGGCTACTCAGGAGGCCTGCCAGGTAAAAGCAGTGAGACCCCATCTCAACCAAGAAAAGTTGGGTGTGGGGGCACATGCTTATCATCCCAGCTATGCAGGAAGCATAAATAGGATTCCAGTCCAGGCTGGCCTGGGCATAAAAGCAAGACCCTATTCAGAAAATAATGAAAGCAAAAAGGGTTAGGAGTGTGCTTCAAATGGCAGAGCTATTGCCTAGCAAGTCCAAGGCCTTGAGTTCAATCCCCAATATCACCACCACCCAAAAAAAAAAAAAAATACTGTGCTCTGAACATTCACACACATCCCTTGTCTTGGGTGTGTCCCTGGGAGGGATCTCGCCAAGCCATACAACGTGTTTAACCGTTGGAGACAGCTGCACCGTTTTAAACTCCCTCCAGCAGTGCACGAGGGTTCCCGTGTCCCCACAACCTCACCTCTTGTTTCCCAACTTTCCAATTATAGCGGGTAGGAGATGCTGTCTCACTGTGGCTTGGATGTGAATTTCCCTGGTAACCAGTGGCAGGGAGCATATCGTCATGTGTTTATTAGCCATTTGCGTATCTTCTCTGCCCATTCCTAAATTGGGTTGCCATTTTATTATTGATTTGCAAGAGCTCGCTATATGTTCTAAGCATGGTCCCTTGCCAGATTTGTGATTTGCCAATCCTTTCTCCCATTCTTGGGTTGCCTTTTCCTCTCTCCATGGCCCCAGGGGAGCATTTTGAAAGGAAGGTGGGTGTAGGGGGGCTGGGGCCAGAGGGAAAAGGCCTTTTTGTGCCAGGCAAATGAAAACATTCTTCTCTCGCCTCTTCGTCAGGGGCTCAGCAGGACCCTTCTCAGATGCCTCCTCTTTCTGCCCTTCCTCAGATTCCTTCCCTGCCCAACCTCAATCCCACAGAAATCCCCAAAGTGGGGGAGTTTCAGGTCTCCTTCCTCGCTCGCACAGCAAGGCCACACCCAGATACAAATAAGAAATGCAAGCACGTCACTTGCTCGGGCCACATGCATACTTACAGCTAAAACCTGCATCCAGAAAGCTCTAGGACCCCTGCCTGCTCTTCCCACGTCCCCCAGCCTACCCAAACATCCTAAGGGAGCATGGAATTTGGAGTTGGGGCTGAATTTGAGTCCTGGCTTGAGCACTTCCCAGATGTGCCATTTTGGGCGAACTTCAGCCAGTCTGCAGCCTCTGTTCCTAGTGAAATGGATTCATATTTTATGTCTCCAGGGGGTCAAGAGAATTTAACCATGTGAAGGAAGTGAGGGTCCTGGCATGTGACATGGGGTCAGCAAGTGTCACCATCCTGCTTGACATTGCTTGTCTCAGGGTGGTGGTGTTCAGGGATGTTGCTGGCCCCCAGGATAGCTGCGCGCCTCCATGGGCAGCCTCCCTCCCTCTCCTTTGTGACCCCAGAGATGTGGACAGAATCTCAGCTCCCATGCAAAGCTCTCTTGGCTCTGAGTGGGGTCCGAAGGGCTTTGACTTAGCCTCGTTGCTCATCCTGACTCCCTCAGGCTCTCTCAGGGCATTTTCTTCACGACTAGTTCACACTTGGTTCCAGACCAACTGAATTGTATCCATGAGACTTGTCCAGGACGATAATGGTATTCCCTCTCCTTGTGGCTGCAGACAGAGTAACCGCACAGTACGTGTGGCCCAGGAATTCCTGGAGTACCACGTCAATGGGGATGTGAAACAGGGCCCCATTTCTGACAACTACCTGTTTGCACCCAACGAGACAGCAGAGCCCACGTGGGACACTGTGAGGATGGAGATCGTGGTGGGAAAGCTGGCGACTGAGATCCGGCAGTACTTCTACAGGTGCTTCCCCAGGACCCACAGGGCACGGGCAGGGTGATGAGTGAGCGAGTCTCTGGTTTTGCTCCAGGTCCCTTGCTCCTGGGCCTGGCCCTGGCACATAGCTGTTGCTTGGAAAAAATGAAAGAATTGCTCTGACTTCTGCAGATGCTTTTTGTGTGTGCGTGTGCTGCTTGTGTTCTCAGCTGAGTTCAGAGCACATAAAAGGGGCTGAATGGCTGAGGCTAGCACAGCAACTCCACAGTATCAGGGATCCAGGCTGTGTCCTCATCCATCATAGAAGGCTCTCATGGCTTTGCCTCCCACTGTCCTCTTCTCCAGAAACGCAACAGCCCAGGCTTACACCTACGCCATCTACTCCCGGCTGGCCCACGTGCCTCAGGGCCCCCACGGGGAGCTGCTTTGCCACCGGATAGAGCAGGAGTACCAAGTGGGCCCCTTGGAGCTGAACCGTGAGGCCATCCTGAGGACCAGCAGTGATCTAAACAGCCAGCAGGTCCTCTACTCGGACAACAACGGCTACCAGATGCAGCAGCGGCCCTTCCAGGCCTTCAGGAACAACACCATCGCCCGGGTACGCGGTGACAGCTGTGTGCTGCACCCTTGAGAGCGCTTTCCCTGGTCTCTTTAAGCACCACCTCAGAGCAGTAGAAAGGCCTCTGGACAGTGTTGTTTTAAAGCCCGCTGGTCACAGGTCTGTCTTTGCAGGGTGGTCACACAGGCTCTGAGTCAGACTGGTGTCTGGGTCCTGGTGCTGCCACACAGGAGAGACCTTATTTTAACCTCAGTTTTCCCTTCTGTAAACAAGTGCTTTGTCAAAAGGTGGCGCTGAGGATTGATGTAATGAAGTGTGTTGAGCATCCTGTGGCTGGGGAACAGTAGAGTGGGAGCTGAGCCACTCATGGTGGGTCACCATAGTAGGTCTCCATGGTCAGGGTCCTGCCTAACATGTCACTGTGCCTAGAGGGGCTGGTGGTGGCCCCCTCAGCTCAGGCCTCTGCCAACCACTGGGTGACGTTTGTGTCTTCAGAATTACTACCCCATGGTGCAGTCTGCCTTCATCGAGGATGGAAGAAGCAGACTGGTGCTGCTGTCAGAGCGAGCACACGGTGTCTCCAGCCAAGGGAACGGGCAGGTGGAGGTAGGAGAAGCATGGTCTTTCCCACTAAGGCCCTGCATGGCTGTCCATGGCATGGCCTCGCAGACAACCCCTTCCTACAGGTCATGCTCCATCGGCGACTGTGGAACAACCTGGCCTGGGACCTCAACTACAACCTCACGCTGAATGACACCTCGATTGTCCACCCCGTGCTCTGGCTTCTGCTGGGACCCAAAACACTCACCACTGCCCTGCGCCCCAGGAGCGGCCTCGCGCTGCAGCATAGGCCAGTTGTGCTGCTCAGAGAGCTGGCCAGTCCAGAGCCACCTGGTCAAGGTACGCATCACCACTGCGCAGGAGACTCGAGCCATCTGGGCAGGAAGGGACCTGGGGGACTGAGGGCAAACACTTACTCTGCTGGTAAGGACAGAGCTGAGGCTTGCACCTGCTCCAGTCCACACCTCTTCCCTGAGTCTTCTCCATTTTCCTTCCTGGTGTGTCTTTTTCTTTCTTAAGATAGCACTATATCACCAGGTTGCTTCAGGTCTGGAGGCCCGGCATTTAAAAGACTGGTTTTGTCTGAATCTGGGTCACTCGGCAAGGCTGCCTCTGCTCCGCGGTCTGTCTGCACAGCTTATGCTTCGGCTCCCATAGACGTCTTTAGATTAGCAGCTGTGTTCTGCACCTTAGTTAAAATAAAAGAGCATGAGAAACATTCAACAGAGGTCACATGTAGAGATAGATAGTACCTTGGAGCAGCCTTTGAAGAAATAAGGACCTAAATATAACTTGATGTCATTCTCATAGTCCTTGAACTGTGCTCTCTTCCTACCCCACTGGTAGAGGCTTTGATTAGAATATGTTTTTAAAGTTCTCCAGCTTCTGTTTTAGAGCCAGAACCTTCTCAAGGCGTCAGTAGCAGGTGCTTCACTCAGTCATCCAGCAAGCCTATAGTGTGCCACACACTGTAGGTATATAAGCACAGTCCCTGTCCTGTGGAAGTTCTCAGGCAGGAGTGGGGACATGCATTTGGGGCAGGGGGAGTGTAGTGGGGAGGGTCTGGTATTTGTGTTTGGAGCAGCATGAGACCTCAAGCTGGAGGAGACCAGGAACGAGCTCCAGGGACATCAGTGAGGGTTCTCTGCAGGGCAGCTGGCTGGGCAGAGCCTAGGGAAGCTTATTAATTAAGGAGGAATGGAACAAGAGGCCTGGGCAGCTCAGGAGCAAGTATTCAGGGCCATGCCTCCCAGGGTGCCACTGACCTGACTGTGGTCCCACCAGTGTCCATGCTGTACATTCCTGGGAAGGGCATATGGCTGGCCTAACCAGGTCAGGCCAGACGTTGGCTCCTAAATCAGCCAGCAGTCCCTTCCTCGTGACTGGGGGTTTCTACTACAGAGGGAGATGCCGTATGTCTGAGAAGCTCCACCCTGCCTACCCCAATCTAGTGTCTGTTAGTGTAAGTGAGAGAAACCCAACTTGGATTAGCTGAGTCTCAGGAGAACTTATTCTGAGGTCCCCATAACTGCAGGTTTGTGGCTGGGCCTCCAGGTCTGGAACCCTGCCTATCTGACCACAGGTCCCTCCTCCTCCTCCCCCTCGCTGAGATGTGGCTGGGCAAGCCCCAGAGCTGCTCTTGGAGAACAGTTGTCTCCCCACCTGTGTCAGTCAGCTTTCTGCCTATCGCTGTCACAAAACACCTGAGATAATTCACTTAAAAAGAGGTATCAAGGGATGGCGGAGTGGCTCAAGTAGTAGAGTGCCTGCCTTGCAAGCGTGAGGCCCTGAGTTCAAACCTCAGTACCACCACCACAAAAAAAAAAAAAGACATTTCAGTCCATGGTCACAGGCCTTGTTGCTTTTTGGTGGCACAAAAGATTATAGTGGTGCCATGATGTAGGAGGTCTGTTCACCTCATGGTGGCCAGAAACCAAAGAGAGAGACAGAAAGGGACTGGACTCCTAATGTCCCCTCCAAGGGCATGCCCCAATGACCTCACTTTCTTCTACTAGGCCCACCTCCTAAAGGTTATGTCACCTCCCAGTAGCACCAGATGGTGGGAACCAAGACATTAGCAAATGGACCTTTGAGGGGATATTCAAGATCCGAAACACCACCCAAAGGGACTGAGACTCAAACTCTCCAGTCTCAAGTGCGGCTGTCCCAGGGAGGGATTCTGGTTGGTCCTGCTTGGGTCGGGTGGGTCATGCCTGGGCCAGTTGTGTGGTCTGGAGCATTATGAGGGGGTCGTAGCTCTAGCTAAGAGGAGGTGGAAAGAGTCGGGACAGAGACACCTCTGAGTGCACTGAGATGACAGAATAAGGGAGGAGCTTTCACCCCTGACCTAGAATAGAAAAAGGGCTGTGTGCACTGCTGTGTGAGCTCAGACATCCTCTGTCCCTCTCTGGCCTTGGTCATCTCATCAGGAGCTTGAAATGGCAAATGAGGAGGTGCAGTGTCCCTCCAGCTCTTAATCTCTGTGAACTCAGCAGCTGGGCATGAAGGAACAGCAACCAGGGAAGGACCTGCATGAGCAAAGGCCAGGGTGTGGGACCAGCATCTTTGGGCTGACAGGGCTGTGGGCTGCATATCTGGAGAGGTAGAAATGGCTGGAAGGGTCAAGGGACACCATGTAGAGAGTTCCCAGTGCAAGTGGCAGAGTTGTCCCACAACGCCCACGTTGCTGTGTCCATCTGCCCTGCAGGGACTTCCTCGGAGCCTCCAGGACTCCGGCAGCAGGTGGCCGTGACACTGCCACCAAATCTGCACCTGCAGATCCTGAGTGTCCCTGGCTGGAGCTACAACACCAACCACACCGAGCACATGCGACATCTTCGGCAAGGTGAGGCGTGGTCCAGACTCTCCTTCCTTCCTCCCTCCCTTCCAGAGTCGGCCGGGCCTCCAGTCCCTCACCAGGCAAAGAGGGCTCACCCTGGACTTGCCACGGCTCTGTGAGATCCCCTGGTCCCCTCATCTGGCAAGTGGGGAGACCAAGAGGAATGGCAAATGACCAGAGTCACTCAGCCATCTGGGGCAAGGTGGGTCCAGGCTGGAGTCTCAGCCCAGAACCAACCTCACCTCTCCGAATGGATGCCTCCCAGTCCCCAGACTATGGGCCACATCTTGCCCAACCCTCCAGGCCACACCATGGTCCTGTTGCTTCCAGGAGTCTTCCTAAAGCCCCTGAGCACACCAGGTCTTGCTGGGCCCCAGAGCCAGGCAGTCCAGCCGTGAGGAGCTTCCATTCATTCATTCAGTAAATGCCCCTTGGGCCAGCCCTAGGGAAGGAGGCAAGGTCCCTGTTTCTCTGCACTCTTACCTTTTGACAGTGGCAAGAGGGAAGCCCCTAGCAAGCCATCAGGGAGGGCTTCCCCAAGTTGGTGACACCTGCCAGGAACTGATGAATCCTGTTGCTGAAACTCCATCTGTACCATCTCTGCCCCGGTACACTGTGAGCAGCTCAAGGGTAGGGGCCAACTGGCCTCAACCATCTTCATGTCCCCAGGGCTCCACCTAGGACTGGCACTCTCAAAGATAGCTTAGAAAGAGTCTACAGACTCTTAATTAAAGAGGAAAGGGGAGAGGAATCAGCCCCAAATTCAGAGTCAACACAGAGGGAAGACACAAGGAAATCAGCTACTGCAGGCTCACTAACCTTTGTCACTGATGAAGCTCAGAAGCTGTGACTTGTAGCCCAGTGGCCTCTCATGCTGCCCCCCAGCATTTCCAACTCCCCCACCTGTCCCAGAAGACACAGGTTGGGGGGGCCTCCCGCAGCTGTAGAGCCCTTCTGTGCATGGCCCAGCGTGACAGAGATGCACTTCCTGTGGGCGGCTCGCTCCCATAGAAAGGAAGGTTAGGGTCTGACCCACCACATCCCATGCTGCTGGTAAGAAAGCTCCTCCTTCCTGGACAGAGGTAGGTCCAGGGTGAAGGAACATCTAGAACCTGCTGCCTCAGACCTGCAACTGCCTCATGGGGTGGACTCCTGTAGCATCTGCCATCCAGGGCAGGTGACAGGCAGGAGCCCCACCTGACTCTGGACTCCAACCTGACACCACTGCTCTAGGAACATGTAAAAGTGATTTTACAAACCTCACTGCTTCCATGGGCTCGGGCAGCCATTCCTATGGGCCTGTCTGAAAAACAGCAGTCTCGTAACCCCACAGTGAGCTTTTCAAAACCATGACGCTGAGTTTTGCCCCAGAGTTTGATTCCACAGCTGGAGGGTGGATCTGCAGAGCTGGGGCTCTATGATCCAGGGTTTAGCCTCTTTCTATGGCTTTGGACTCCAAGCCTTGTCTTTCTCATCTGTAAAACGGGAGACAGCTGTGAGCCTTACTGTAGAGAGGATGGCAAATGAGACCATTTTATCAGTCAGTATGGCCAGGTAATGCTTCAGTAACAAAGAGCCCCAGACTCTCACCATCTTTGTATAGCATGAATTCATTCCTCCCTCATGCTATGTCCTACAGGGTTTGCAGGAAGGCCCTTCTCACTGTGCCCAGCAGGCCCCCTGCTGTGGAAATTGTAATGCAACACCTGCCTCCTCCTCACCAAGGTGGGAAGCAGCTTCTGCCCAGAAACCAAACATCACATCTGCTGTCTTGCATTGGCCATAGCAGTCACGTGATCACATGGAACTCCAGAGGGGACAGGAGGAAAAGACTGGGGTACTTGAAGACAGGCTCAAGTACCTTGATGACCACAGCAAGATCAAGGACATTGGCATTGGCCCCTGTGTGGCAGGCTGGAGGCCTGGAGTGGTCCTGACCTGCTCTAGACCTTCCCTGTGCTACACACCAGCCACAGGACCCCAGGCCTTGCTTCCTTGGATGTTGAGTGGTGGGCTGCGTCCACTGCCCTGTGGGGAAGTTGAGGATATAGAATGCAGTTCAGAGTGTACAGCCCTGGAGCCTTGAGCTTGGTTGATGGGGGTCCTCACTGCTACCTTCTGTCCCCAAAGGCCACCAAGGGAAGGCCCAGGCAGACTTGCATCGTGTCCTGCTGCGGCTCCACCACCTGTATGAGGCAGGGGAGGACCCAGTCCTGTCCCAGCCAGTGACGGTGAATCTCAAGGTAAAGTGCCCCGACCCCCTGCAGAGGCTGTGCTGGGGAAGTGAGCCCCAAGTCTGAAGACCCCACTTGAGCACTTGAGGAGTCACCTCAGCCAGAGGACACATCACATAGGGCGAGTTCACAAATGAGCCCTATTGGCACTCCAGCCTCTTGCCCTCCTTTCTTTCTTTCATTTTTTTAGTACTGGGGTTTGAACTCAGAGCTTATACCCTGAGCCACTCCACCAGCCCTTTTTTGTGATGGTTTTTTTTCTCAAAATAGGGTCACGTGAACTATTTGCTCAGGCTGGCTTCGAATTACGATCTTCCTGATCTCTGCCTTCTGAGTAGCTAGGGTTACAGGTATGAGCCACCGGCACCTGGCTCTCTCCCTCCTTTCTTCGAGGTCTTCTGGGTTTGCTGGTTCAAACCACAGGTCTGCATCTGATTTCCTTCTTGCTTCTGCTGTGAAACCTTTTAATCAACACAGACATCATAAGTGCAATCAGAAAACAAAACCAATTCTCCGCAGACTTCCTTTAAAGGGTGACTTAGAATCAGATGATCCAAGGTCTGCATCCAGGTCATTCCTTGGACGATTCGGGCTCCCCCAAGACTCTGGGCCTCAGTTTCCTCACCTGTAAAGCTGGGGGAGGCAGAGGGCGTTGCTCAAAAGGCTGGTGCAATTACCCGTGCATCCCACCTGACACTTGCCTGTGCTGGGACCTGGACCCACTCCTCCCCAGAGTCACATGGGGAGGGACATACCCAGCCTCAGTTTCCTCATCTGTGAATGGGCTGATGATCCCACCCCATCCTTGCAGATGAAGTGAGGAGGTGTGTTAGGCACCAAGGCAGAGCACAGGGCCCAGGACACAGAGTTGGTGGCATGGCCATCCCTGCTGCTATTTGGTTCTCTGTACTGCTCAGTGCTGGGGCATCGTGGGGCCCAGCCGCACCTCTGCTCTTGTCTCTGCAGGCCGTGCTGCAGGGGCTGGGGTCTGTGGTGGCTGTGGAGGAGCGCTCGCTCACGGGGACCTGGGACGTGCACACACTGCAGCGCTGGAGCTGGAAGACAAAGCCTGGCCACACAAGAGGTTTGCAACCCCTGCCTCCACCCCTGCTGGGGGTCCCAGCCAGACTCAGAGCCCTTCTGGCGGTGCAGCCTTGGGTGACCACTGCTCCCTGCGTGACGTGCAGCCCTCCATAGTCCGCTCGAGTAGGTTAGGAAAAGCTCTGGGTCAGTCTCCACCCTCCAGACCTTCACACAGACAGGCGCCTGTGTGTGCATGCATGTGTGTGTGCATTTGTGTGTGTGCACGTGTGCACAGGCAGGTGCACACCCTGCCCTGAGCAAGAGCCCAAGTTCGATACCACACTGCACACACCCATTCACCCCAGTGTGCCCAGGCAGCCTCAGGCCCCCAGTCTGCCATATCCATCCCTCCACCTTGGAAAGCCTGTTCCTCACCTGCTGGTGACTCCTCCTCAGCTTCCCTGAGGCATCCCTCTTTGTCCACTGCACACCACACAGCATGGTGCCAGGTGTGCAGCCATGGGGAATGGGAGGAAGGCCTCCCTCCCAAGGATAAAGCCCGAGCCCCAGCTGTGACTGAGGTAAAGAGAGCAGGTGAGGTAATGGACAGGGTTCTCCAGATGGTCCTGAGTGCAGCACCCCTGGGGAATCAGCCCCAACATTACTCTTCACTGTAGCCCCAGGGGAGATAGAATGCGAGGCCCACTTATAGCAGGGGGCCTGGCAGGAGGGACAGCCAAGGACAATCGCCACCTGTAGATAGCTGCCATCTCATGGGGGGTGGCTAAGAGGAGGCAACTGGCTGCTCAGACTACCTGTGCTCCCTAGGCCGCCCCATGTCCCCCTCAAGGCCACGAGGAGGCTCCACCATCACTGTCCACCCCAAGGAAATCCGGACATTCTTCATTCACTTCCGACAGCAGTGAGCCACTGGCCCAGGGTTGTGTGGGACATCATGTGATAGGACAAATGCAAGGAAAAGCCATGAAGAGAGATGGGGGAAGGGGTGGGGAGTGAACTGCTAATCCAACAGGCTGATGGCAAGAGGCAGCCACGTGTGGGGTCCCCTCATTTTTAAATAAAAAATTATTTAAAGTCTGGATTCTTCTGTCCTGTGTTCAAGCCAGCCCTCCTTGCCTCTTGCATAAATGATATTTTTGTTCTTTCTCTTTTTCTTTTTTGGTTTTTAAAAAAGCTGTATTTTTTTTTTTTGGCAGTATTGGGGTTTGAACTCAGGACTTTGCACTTGCTAGGCAGGCAGGCACTCTACCACTTGAACCATGCCTGCAACCCAAAAATAACCTTTATTTTTAAAAAGTTAATGTGTATATTGTGGAAAAGTGAAGACTACCAACAGCAAAATCATCCCATTACTAGCAGCTTCCAGCTGGAGGTGTCCTTGAGGTCCTGTGTGCACACAGCGTGTAATTTTATGTCATCAGCACTTACAAATTAAAAACCCCAAAGCTCTGTGAGCATTTTGATAACCAAGAACACACTTCACTCGCTCAGTCTGCCATCCTGCCTTTCTTAGGGACAAAAACCTAGAGGTATTGGCAGTTATGGTTCAGTACTGCATCACTTCATGCTCGGCTTAAGATGAGGCATGTGTTATTGAGAGTTCATGGGCACAGGTGTGGCTCAAACCCTGAGTTCAAATCCCAGTACCGCCAAAGAGAGTTCATTGTCACATCTGTGCTACTAACATGTCAGCAAGAAGTGTGTGCCACAGAATTACGTCATGTACTCCTGTACTGCAGTCAAAGGGGACATCGACAGGGCTGTGGTGTGGCTCAGTGGCAGAGCCTGGCCTGGCATGTGAGAGGCCCTGGGTTCCAACCCCAGCATTGAAAAAAACAAAGTAAATCTGAGTGCTTGTACACCTCTCCCACGTGCTTCCTCCTGCCCTCCATGCCGTGTGGCGAACAAATCCTGACACACTGCTGAGGTGGCATAACTGTCCACATCCAAAATGCACCTTTTCTACCGATAATAACTACAAAATAGCTAGAAATCGGCAAGTCCGCTCGGTCAACTTCCCATCATACATGCCTGGCCAGCTCGGGGGGTCTATGACGCGTAGGTGTTTCAAAATAGGGACTAAACCTTGGCCACAATACACACAGGGGCTTAGTCCAAAATGCACGTGAAAGTCCATGGTCATTCTCTGAAACCAGCTGTGAGACATGGGTGCTGGTGAGCCCTTCCCGCTCCTTCCTCTGCATCCTCTTCTCCATCCCAATGACCCAGTGCAGCACCCATGGCAGCGGAACCCAGTGAACCACTATACCTGGGAACTAGAGAAGGCTGAACACGCTGTCCCAGCAGACAGTCCTTCCTAAGCAACTAGCAGAAGGTGAAATTTGGTAACCTGATAGCAGACATGTTCTCTGCTTTGCCCAGTCAGGACCTGGGCCAGATTTGCTGGGCAAGCAATAGACCACCTTGTAGCATGCACAGGGCACAGTGGGGAGCAGGTGACCAGTGACGTGGGTGTACGGTGTGGGTGGGGTGCAAGGGGGCATTAGGAACCCTATAGAGCACTGGGCTGCACAGGGGCTTGGTTTCCATAGCATGAGGGCTATTATAAAATTATCCCCAGGCCAGGGCTGCAAGGCTGTTTGTAGAAACTCCATATCTGACAGAAGTCCTCCCCCACCAGGCCAGAAATGCTGGGAGAGCCGCTTCCTCTAGAGTGTCCCTTGGGCATCTGCCACTGACAAGAGTGAGAAGAATAGGTCAAATGAGAAAACCCACCCACGGCAGACAGAGCAGTTGCTAAAATCCAAAATCCACTTGTTATTAAAAAAAAAAATCAAACTACCCTGCTTAATGGTAACCATAATCCTAACAAAAATCCCAACAGGTTTATTATGGGACTTGACAAGTGTAGAAGTGTTTGAAAAGTGTGTGTGTTGGTCTGCTCAGCAATAGACTGAGGGCTTATAAACAACACACATTTATTTCTCACAGTTCTGGAACCTGGGAAGGCCAAGGTCAAGGTGCTGGCAGGTTCACCATGTGCAGAGGGTCTGTTTCCAGTTTTCTAGGCAACACCCTCTCACTGTGTTCTCTCGTGGTGGAAGGAGTGAGACAGCTCTGCAGAGCCTGCAGGGTCCCCTAATCCCATCCGGAGGGCTCCATCTGCAGAACCTGGTCACCTCCCACAGGCCTCACCTAGGAGGTTAGGATTCAACATATGAATTTGGGGGACACACACATTTACACCATAGCAAAAAGGGACCCCAGAACTCAACCGGTACACCTGTGGTGGACTACCTCACAGAGAGAGGGGTCCTGGGACAACTGCTTGTTCAACTGCAGCAAGAAGAAACCTGCCCCTCTCCCACAATGTACACCAACCTGCCTTGGAGGAGGTCCCAGTGCCCAATATGCACACAGAAATGTGCTGGACCTCACTAGAAATCAGTCTATGCAAACTGAACCACAGTAAGACATTGGTTCACAATTGCCGCAGCTGTTACTTTCAAAATTAAAAATATGTGCTGGCAGGTAGTCACAGAAGCTCTCGTACACTTGAAGTGTGAGAATGAGCTGAAGGAGACATTTGGGAAACAGTTTTGCGTTGTCTTCTAAAGTTAAAGATATGCACGCAGCATACCCCACAATTCTGTTCCAGGCGTCTCACTTAGAACAAAATCACATGCATGTGCACAAGGATATATAAGGTTGTTCCTATAGTGCTGCTCATGAGAGCTGTAAATTAGAAACCCAGAGGTCCACCACAGGGCCTGGTGCATTGCTAATGCCACAGAGCAGTGGGCTCAGGGGTGGCCCGCACTTGGGAGCTTGTTAGAAATACAAATTCTCACTGGGCACCAGTGGCTCACGCCTGTAATCCTAGCTACTCAGGAGGCAGAGAGCAGGAGGATCACAGTTCAAAGCCAGCCTAGGCAAATAGTTCATGAGACCCTACCTTGAAAATACCTAACACAAAAAGGGCTGGTGCA